AATTTGGCCCTTTTGGTTTATGATCAAATGTTTTAAATCGAAATTAATACTACAATTTTTGGATTTGGGTTTTTCCACACTCCTGAGGCTGATGTGAAAAATGTTCAAACATGTAGTGTTAATTGTGAATTATAAAATGTTGATCGTTTGAATATTTAAATATTTACACAAGTTCCTTGAATTTTAACCTATTAGTGTAACAGGCTGTTCTATTGTTGGATCGAGAGAGCGTCGTCTGGGGCGACAAGACACCAATTACAATAAATTTATTTAAAAAACCAGGGTATGCAGTGGCGAGTGGTTACACAAGTCAACCAAATCGTGGAAATTTGCAAGTAAAGCAAGGAATAAATGATACCGAGTCCAATTCTACACTAAAAGATATACACTTTATTAACATAAAGATACGAAGTCTTATAATGAATGAAAAACAATAACATCGATTACATAAAAGTTTACACTTTCAGTAACTTATATTAGACCCATAATGTTTCTAACCCCATCAACATTACTTATTTAACGACTTTTGCATTATACATCATATTTCCACTTGGTAATATTATTAGTAAAAGGGGAGTAGCAATGACGTTGCAAAGAGTAGCAAAGAGGATGACGTTATAACGTCGAAACATGCAGAGTCGTCAACTTTTTGAAGGCCATAGATAGGCCTAAATAAAATGTTTTTAATTGTGTACCAGTTTAAAGTTGAATACTATTTATGACTTTAACTTTATACACAAGTGTCAAAATACTATAATTACATGGAGTTAGTGTAGTGCAAGTCTGCACCTACAGATAAACTGCCATTTTCTGTCTGTATACCTCGGAAACTTAGCAAAATGAACTGGAAATCCTGGAACCCTCTGGAGCAACCTCGAGGCTGGGAAAAACCCTGATGTTGGAGACAACCACACGTTTGGTCCAGAGACATCAATTTTTATATGGTTTGGCAGCATAATCCATTCGAACTCATAGGGGTAGACTTCGAGGTGACTGGTCCAGAAATTAGTCTTCCTATAGTGATTGGTGTTCAGTGACCAAGGTCTTGACGTCACAGGTTATCCGTGTTTCTCATCCTCTATAAACATCTTCTTCCAACTAAGTCCTATCAAATTACACTTTATATCCCTGAACACAATTGTTTAAACTTACATATCCGTCAAGTTAGGATTACTTTACGTAAGAATCTTCTCCATTATCACCGATATGCAGACAATGTTAGTTGTTCTTGACAGGTGTGCGTTCGTCTTTCGTTAGCATTTCACAACTATTATTTTGCAACACGCCCCAAGTTCATACTTTAGCTTGGTCGAAGCATGTGTTTATTGTAAAGTGGCAGTTCAGCTCGTGAGAAAGAATGCCGAAATGTTTGTTTAATATTTTGCAACACGGCTATAAACTCAAAGACTGTAGGTGAATAACCCGTGAGAAAATATAGTTGAATTATTTGGTTATTTTAGGGTGCTTCACCAGTACAGTAAGTACCCCAGGGGTCAGGCTTGGGTCTTTGATTTTTTTATTTACACTAATTATATTGATAAGTGCATAATTAGTAAAGTTTGTTGATGACGTTAAACATTGAAACTTCCCACGTTAAGATGAACAAGAAAGATACCGTCGAATCAAAGGGTGACAGTATAAATAGCACAGTCACGTATTATATAGCTTGTTTGGTGACAGCACATACGTGATGATCACTATACATTAATCAGAACAACAGTACAGTTTTGGTCACATATGGGGGAGGAACTATCTCTAGTTGCCATTATAAATTACTAGAATGACATTCTACAAACATTTATAATCGAATAATTATCCTATAACTCGATTGCAAAGGACTTTTTGTCACAATTACAGATTTATATTGGAAAAGAAAAGAAGTGCATATTATAAACTTAATACGCACTTAATTCGCCTGTCGCATGACGTAAGTACCAGGAAAACTTTACTATGTGTGAAGGCTTTGATAAATTCGATATCATTAACTCGCCTGTCGCATGACGTAAGTATCAAGAAAACTTTACTATGTGTGAAGGCTTTGATAAATTCGATATCATTAACTCGCCTGTCGCATGACGTAAGTATCAAGAAAACTTTACTATGTGTGAAGGCTTTGATAAATTCGATATCATTAACTCGCCTGTCGCATGACGTAAGTATCAAGAAAACTTTACTATGTGTGAAGGCTTTGATAAATTCGATATCAAGTTTCAAATCGGTGATCAACAAAATAGATGTAAGTTAGGATAATTGAAGGCTGAGAGTGTTATGCGATTCCACAGAAAAAAAGTGCTGTAATAACACGGGACCTTTGTAAAAAGCTCATCGGACATTATAAAAATTTGCGGTAGCAAAATGAAACGTCGTACAAAAACTTCTAAGGCAGACGCAATCCACAGAAGTCTCCAATCAAGTACAGTCTCCTTTGTCTAAACTTTCTCTTAAACATAAGTGGTTTGAGTTTTTGTTTTAAATTCTTGGTTGATGCAGCCTTCATATTGTGTGTTTTATTAAATGTGGTAAGATGTGCTATTGAGTGATCTCACCAGTGGTATCTGATTCTAAAGACAGGTAAATGCACAAAGCTCAAGTACAGGGAGATTATAAAGAAAGTTTGGTAATATAGTGAATCATATCTCACAAATGGTATGAAATTGTACAAAGATAAAGAGTATTATGTGGACGCAAGTACCACAGTTGTCACATTTTATCACAAGGAGTGCCACTGTGGTTTCTTTTGTATACTATCCTTGGATATAAATAGGCCTGTCAATCTGCAGTGGAGTTGGTTCAACCAACATATCTCTGTGTATTCCACTACATACAATACTTACATTAAAATGCTGGTAGTTAGTTACAGATATCTATGTATGTTTATCAGTATTGAATGGGACAAATTAAAAATATCTTGCCTTTGACTTCATATTAATATATATATATTATAAATACATCATTTGCTACAAACACTTCAAAACATTTCACTATTTCTATATATATACCTTGACTTTTTCATGGTTAAATTAATCTACAATGACATCATCATTGATGGGATGTTGTTACGTAGTTGTAACTAAAGAAGTACAATTATGCATGTAAAAATCATGAATACTTTAAAAACTCTTAGGGTTACTAAAACTACTTATCTTGGTACTTCTTATACTGTGTTGGACTGTTTTCTTTTGTCCTTTCCTGTGACGGATTAAAAAACTTTATTTGATGCTTTATACAATTATGTACAAACTATAACCCAAAACAGACTCTGATGCATCTACTTTAACCTTTCTTAGATGGGTTAATTAATCATCCTACAGTTTCTTGTAACAAACAGTGAAATAATGGGATATGTTTCTCTGTAAAAATAATGGGTTTAATAATAAAGAAGCACATTTCTTCATGAGATATATATCACAGAAAGATACGTTCCATAGATAAAGTTCCTTCTATTCTGTATTTCAACACTGAAATAACCATGAATGAGATGATGGTCATAGCTTCTAGCTTATATGTATTCACTAAATGATTTAATATAGTCACATAAATCCTTATGATACTTTAGTGTAAACAAATTCATACATTTGGACACTATTATTTATCAAAAATGTATCCAAAATGATGTAAAGAAATGCTTTATTGGGCTTTTTTTTCAGTAAAATGCAGTACTTCTAGCACCTACAGACAAAAGAGTGAGGAAGCACTACACTACAAAAAAATCTTGAAATGCACTACTTTCATTAAAATTTTGGCTTTTAATGTAGTGATTAGTTTCCTCATGAATGGCTTATTTTTTTTACAAATTTTTCCACTGCTAACTTTGAATTGTAAATACAATCATTGACACTGACTCCTTCATAAGATGAACCAAGCAAGCTGAGGTTCAGCGAGTTTTCCTGTATTTCATTGTGCAACCCTTGAAGGATTCGGTGATGGCCTACTTTGTACTGAGGTATACAACCCTGAAAAGAAAAGAATGACACTAGTCAGTAATATTCTATACACACGATTATCAAAGATGTTTGTATATTTTGCTGAAGCACAGTAAAATATAAAACATACACATGTTCATATTACAATTTCTAATTACTAAGAATTCCGAATAAATTATTTTAGTAGCAGTTAGATTAAATAAATATTCTGAATTTTCTTAGTGATATATAATGTCTGTTAGTTTGTTTGTTTGGAATTAAGCACAAAGCTACACAATGGGCTATCTGTGCTCTGCCCACCACGGGTATCGAAACCCTGTTTATAGTGTTGTAGGTCAGCAGACATACTGCTGTGCCACTGGGGGCTGTCTGTTAGTTGTAATCTGTTGATCGGTAGGTTTATATAGGTGATAATTTTTAACAAATGTTCCTCTACTAGCCCTGTATGGTTTCTCAGTCAGCAGGGTCTGCAGCACACAAACAGTGAAGTTTAAATAATATTATATTCATATAGAGTTAGTAAAAAAATATTTGTTAAAAATAATTATTAGCCTTATTGTGCGGTGCTGCCATCTATATGCAAAAATTATTTTTCGCATGGCATGAGCCTTGCATTCTCACGTACCACACGATTATCGTGGTTCAACTGCATCTCGCATGCAAAACCCTCCACCAATAGGAGTGCAACACACCCTCCTGATACATGTGACTCCCTCTATTTGATTCTACAGAACTATCACTTCTAGTTTAAGCAGAAAAGGAAGCACTGGTTTTCAGTGAGAAGGACAGGTGGAAATTGTGATAGGAAGTAAGTATCTATCAGAAATTATTTTCAGTATAGGAAAAGTATAACTTCTGATACCGTACATTACCTCATCTCACATTACAATCTCACATTGAAGAGGTAGAGAGACTGGTGCGAGAGTTAAAAAAAATCATCAAAAGAACATCTTATACTGATGATCCTTTCAATACGTGGGAGACTGCACCACTTATGTACCAGGTATAATCTTTGCCTAGTGTGAAAAGGAGTGTCACACAACCAAAAGGGAGAGAAGTTGGTTGGATTGGAATCCGAACCACATTATATCATAATCTCAATCCCGTTGTAGAAAGACTATAGACAGTAATGTGGGGAAAAGCAAAACTGGGTGTGCTCCAAGGTGTAGTGTGTCTAGGGTGTGATGGACCATACACAGCAGGTCAACTCCAGTCCAAAACCAAGTGGAATCGGAAATATAACCTCCAGTCCGTGGTAGGAGGAGGGTCCACACCATTTTCATCTCAAGTTCAGCAGAATGGAAGTATATACTGTGCAAATCGAACAACAATATGGGCACATGTGCATAATCCACAACAAACCATACATCCATATGATGACAGTAAGAGTCATATCATACTCAAACTCAATTTGATAAGCATTACACTGTGAAACAGCAACCTCAGGAGGCAAAATTTCCTTGAGGTGGACCACCAGAGGGAGAACCATTGCTTCCTGCAACATTATTCACCTTTTGGTGATCATGAGGCAAACTAAGTGAGGAGTAGGAAAACCACAGGAAACACATGATATGCAATCTCATCCTCCAGATAGTTATAGAAGCTAGGTGCAACATCAACCCTCGGAGCCAAATGTACAGAGATGGAGCACATTTAGTATTGTACACGTGCCACCTTATCCCCCCTCAGACAGGATTGTACAGCATTGGAGCACATTGCGAACTTTCGGGTACCACAGCACAGAAGGATCCAGCAGCTCGAAACTGAAAAGTGGCAAGGACTTCCATTCTCCACTAGAAGAACAAGGGGGGATAAAACATGGTGAAGTGTCTGGAGGAGCTCCAGAGACAGTGCAATGGGTGATCGTGAAAACTCTGTTCTGAAAAGCAGACCATACTTGATTTACTCAATCAAAGAGATGGCAAGATTCGGCAGCTATCTCCTTCTGCTATACTGATGTAAGTCCATGGGTTAATATGGTCCAGAACAGGCATATTAATGAAGCTAATTTATATTGAAAGGGAACCTACTAGCAATCTTGTGGAATACCCCATCTCAACAGTGTGCATTATTGACCATGGGAATATTGTATTTTATTATATCATCATGGCCATACAGTGTGGATTTGTGATATATTAAGTATACCTGGACAGGCAATGCTCACCACAGAGCAAGATCCTGACGATAAAAAATGGATATGTCCCCGAATCAAACTAAAATAGAAATAAAAAAATAACTTAGCCAGTTGCAGTCTCACCAAAGTTTGAAGGATGGCAACAGGTGGAAGAACGTACCCTGATGAGGAAATAACAGCCACTCGATGCAGACAGTGGGAGATGAATGTATGAGTAGTAGTCACATGTCTACTTGAAGAATTTCCTCCAACAGACAATGGAGGTGAAACACCAAGGAAAAGGTAAGGTGCCTGATCTGATGTGATAACAACTGGAACATATTTTGGGAAGGAGACAAGGAGGAATAACTCAAGTGAATCAAAAGCCGAACCCAACTGATAAGTGTTGAAGGAGAAAAGTCATTAACAGAGGAATGTTGAGAGGGAGTGAAAAATGCAGAACATGACATGCCAGAAGAATTATAATAAGCTTGTGGTCCCCAAAATGCAAATCCAAAGTCTGACCACAAAAGGGAATGAGAACGAGTGCCACCTTGGTGGTTGATGTAAGATAACACTGTATGGAATGGATCATGACAAGTCAATTCCTGACTATAGGTAGAAAGTGATCCATTGTCTGCAAGCCTCCTGGTTAATGATCCATGCCCCCAACCATGTAGGGAAGCATCAGTGAAGAGATGCAAATCCAGATGAGGAGGAAGAGGTGCACCCAATGATTTGTGGGCCTTGTTCAAACACCAACACAGATCATCAACAAGAGAAGAAAGAAAGGTAATGGGAGAACCCAAGGGATCCTAAGCAGAATTCTTTTGCTTGCACAGAGTCCACTGAAGAGATCACGTATGTGTCCGACCTAAGAGGTCAAGTGCTTCCAGAGAAGCCACATCCCTAAATGTCATAGAACCTCGCAAGCAGTAAGGGAAGGTGCAGCAATCGGTCAAACGAGCCCCCACTGGACTGGAACCAACACGATAGTCACCAGTACTGCTGGTGATGATGAGACGTGTATCAATGAACATGATGAAACATGGAACTCCTAGTGAGAGGAACGTAAAGAATGGGAGTGTGTCAGACATGGAACATGAACAGTGGACTGCAAGGGCCAAGGGTTAGACAAATGAGCAACCAAGGATAAAAGGGTCAAATGTTGCCTCAAAGATTCCACGTGTGGTTCCAAAGTTTCAAGAATATTCCCCAAGATGGACAGTTGGAGAAAAGGAATGTTCCACAAGCCCTGAAGGTGAGTGGATGGTAAAGAAACCTGGGCCAAGACAGCATCCCTCTTCAGAAGTCCACAACAACAAAGAAACCACGTGTGAAGAGAGAGCTGAGAAGGACACTCATGCCAACATAGAAGTAAGGAAGGAGAAGGTATCCCCTGAATATCATTCAGGAGATTGGTTGAGTGTCTCAGAAAGAAGGTACATGGTGTACAAGTACCACGAGAGAGTTGTAAGAGTAAGACAAAGGAATGAAAACTGGGCCTAGGATAAAAGGAGAGGATTGTCAGGGTCAGCCCCCATACTGGCAGTAGTGATTCTGATTGCTGAGAAACAAGAAAGAGATAATCTGCCTGATGGTAAGCCAAGGCAAACTGATCCGTGGCCCAAGGAGGGTGAGGCACAAGCTCGCAACTGAGAAACAAAAACTTCAACATCAGAAGGAAGGAAAACAAAATACTGGGAGGAAGGGATGTCATGTAATAAGGAACAGGACTGTAAGAAATCGCTGAAATGGATAAAATGGAACAAACCTGAGAACTAATGTCTAGAAAGACTGAATTGGGCATAGAAAATTCCACATAAGAGGTGCAGGAAGACACAGCATAACCAACAGGAGGAAAAAGGCTGTCAAAATCATCATCGTCACAAACAGGTTATGCAATTTCAGGAGAAAGCCAAGCACTATTGGGAAAAGTTCGATTCAGATAATGTTCAATCTCCAGATGAATTAAGGCCGAAAATTCCTCAGTCGAGTATACCCTACCTGAAGCCCATGTAATTGTCCTAATATCAGGCAGTAGAACCTCTGAAATAGTAATATTAACTTCGGTATCCATCATAAAATGAAGAAAATTTTAAAATTATGCGAATAAAAAATAAGAATAACTAACATAAGTTATAACTGAAAACTTTAAAAAATAAAACAGTAGTAAAAGAAATAAATTATCTTTCGTATGAGAAAAATAAAAACGTATGATGAGAGCAGAATCAAAATACAACTTGTCTGTAGCACTGCCTAACGAGAAGTGATAGTTCAGTAGAATCGAATAGAGGAAGTTACATGCATCGGGTGGGTGTGTCGCACTGCTATTGGTGGAGAGTGATCGCATGATGATTTGAACCGTGATAATCGTGGGGTACATGGGAGTGCAAGGCTTGTGGCTTGTGCAAAAAACAACAACGTTTTTCATATAGAGGGCAGCACTGAATGAGAACAGATATATATGCAAGAGTAGGTAATGTACCTTATCGGAAATATTTCTTTAAAATTTTCAGCAATCTTTCTGACACATCTCACACACACTGCTAACCAAAGAGTTTTATTGTTCAAAAATGTCTTCTTCAGAAGCACCATAAAAAAAGTACAAATTTATAAAATGAATATTTCAGAAAACATATTAGAATATATTAAAGCACCTTGTTCCTGCCACAAGAACCGATACTAAGTACTCAGCTGAAGGAAATATACATATATATTATTACTATAAGAATACTTAAAGAATCAACACTATGATACTGTTAATTAACAGTACTTATTGAAAGGAAATGTAAATATAGTTATGATAAAAATACTTAAGGAAGAAACTGTGATATTATTAACAGAACTTTCCTAGCTTAATGAAATGTTATATTTAAATTAGAGATACTTCACTATGAAACATTAAGCTCAAAGCTCTGTTTCTAAAGTGAAACCATGACAGTATATAAAAAAATACTACTACTAAATAAGTGATCTTTGATACTCATTAAGTTTAGATTTTGTATTTTTCGTAAGCATCACCATTCTCATATTAAAATAAAAAGTATTTCTTTATACATAATATTACATTTGAAGATGTATAATTACTGAGAATTTATGACCAAAACTAGAATTTTGAAAAGGAACATACTAATTAATGCCTACCAATATTTAATTTCATTAATCAATAAACCACAAATGGTTAGCATGTACTTAATCATCTGTAAGGTACGCTCAACAATAACAGTACCTTCCAATATATTACTGTTTAGCAATAATGTAAAAAAAAATAGACATAGGTGATTGGTTTGGTTTGTTTGATGTTAAGCATAAAGCTACACAATGGGCTATTTGTGCTCTGTCCACCACAGGTATTGAAACCTGGTATCTAGCACTGTAAGCCCACAAACATATTGCTGTGCCACTGGGGGGCAACAAAGTGATATCCCAGTATACAAAGTTGTAGTGTTCTGATACTGAATTGGGATTTCCTGAGTTACATGTTTATCTTATGTGTTTTATTATCAACTACTCAACCAGTTTCATCAACACAACTCACAAAATATTCTACACATAAAGGTGAAGACCATATTCTTTAGTTTATGCTGACCAACACCACAATCCCAGTCATGGCATTTCCTTTTTTAAACAAGTGTCTTTCAGGTGAGGTGATGTAAAAAGCAAGGATTTTGTTGATCTAATAGACAATTTGGATGGCTTGAATTATCAACAACCTATATAAACTGTAGCTTATTTTATGATTTATATAGAATGAGCTCTCACCCACTCACTTTCAAAAAAATCTAATTGTAGTAGAACTATAATATGCTGGGAAACTTTGCTCTAATTACTGTTTAATTCAATCAGATATATTGTCCCAGGTATATGTTAAACAAAAGTACAAACAATCTGCATGGTTTAATATGCTATATTACTATGATTTTGAATAAGCAAATTAGGATGTCATGAGCCAACTATGGCCAGTATAAATTTGTGGTTGAACAGATTGTATCAGAACTACATTTTGATACTATTTCTAAATGTTGTAGGTAGTGTGCTACCACTAAAATGTATCACTTTATGAAATATTATCTAACAGCTCTTTTCAAAATTAAATATTCATACACTCAGATCATAAACTCAAATCAGGCATTTAGGTTTTCCAAGATGGAGATATCTTTTGTACTGAATTGTATTGGAAAAACAAAGGAATATACCATACCCGAGTTATCAGAGTATTAAAAGACAAAGATGGGTGTTACCTGATTCTCATCAGAGGTAGAAGAACCAAAAATAAAAGGCAGATTGTGGGATGAGCTGATAAAAGTAATCAAAAGACAAAACAGGCTCAGCAGAAGTTACAGAGAGAGGATGCCAGAAGACTTGGGTCCAAGGTAAAGAATGTGTTATTACATTATTTATAACCAAAAGAAAGAGAAGATTTTAATTTACTGTTTAACATATAAAGCTAGCTCAGTCTCATGACAAGTTTTTAATTATTCAGTGTAAAGATTCAAAGTTTCTATTGATATAGGTCAGCTCTACCAGCGAGGGGAATTATTTTAAGTCATAACTTAGTTAGAAAGCCATTTAAATTATAATTATCAACTCTTATCAACACTTCGAGGTTTTGACTGCAAAAAAGTACAAAACCTACACATAAGTACTAAATCTCATGTGTTTTATGTATATTGTTTATTTATTGTTATAAAAGCAACTAAAATGTAAAAATTTGAAACTTATTAGGGTAGATAAGAAAATATACATGGAAAATATCAAATAGAAAAAAATTTATCCACGAGTTATGCATGAGAGAACCTGAAACATGTAATTTAATATCATAACTTGAGCAATGCATTTGCCAACTGATTTCTAACTTGTTACATTGGCTTAGTAGTTATTCACACTCATTCAGCACTCATATTGTTAAATTGGAAAAAATAACATAAAATATAAAGTTTTAATGAAAAAACTTTAGATATTCATTTAGGAAGTTCTACAGGTTATGCAAAATGAATATGAAACATGAAAAAAAAAATGCAGACTAGTCAGGCTCTGGTTTCATAAATTCACAGACAAATCTTGTGTAGAAATATTTAACTAAAAAACATATTTTTTTGTACAAAAGACTTGTAATGTTTATTAAAATCTTGCCAAATTTCGTGTAACTACAATTACTACATTAGGTTATAGTATGTACAGTTTAATGGTTACATGGTAGTTGCAAGGTTGGTCAAAATAACCAAGCCATACAGGGAAAGATAACTAGCTTTACACTTTTTAATTTGTACTGTTATGCCCTAATAGAAAGATTGTAACAATAAATATACTAAACTGTATAAAAAATTAAAGGGTAAGTGACTTTACAATATTATACCTATAATAAGAGAAAACGACTGTTATAACATAATGTCAATCACTCCTCCATCAGCTAATGCTTAAGAAAATCAGACATCTTATACACCATCTTGCAATCTGAAAAACAAATGAGAGATCATGCAGCTTATGCATATAAATAGGTATTTGAGAGAAGCAAGTTTACATCTTTAAATTCAAAAATATTTTACTTCAAAATGAATTTTGTCACTCTGAGCAGCTAGGGTAACCTGGCATCAAAGCAACATGCTTAAAGTCAGTACAGTACTGATAAACCCTGAGGTATCTTTGGTGCCTGACTTGTACAACAATAAACAGTGTAGATGATTGACATTATTTTATAACAGTGAATTTTTGGGCTGTAATAATAGTTATCTTACAAATTCCAAGTACCTTTAGTTTGTTTTTTTCTCTTTTTTTTTTGTACAGCATATGTGTTTGTGTGGAAGTATATATTCAGTATACATATCTTTTAATTCCTTTCCATATCTAGAAATGGCACTAACAAATAAGTTTAGGTTGCTAACAGTGTCTACTTATGATATTTTTAACTAATTTAAAATTACACTGTATTCTACATAAAAAGTAAGCAGGATGCTGCATTAACAAGTACATGTTAAATTCAATTATGATTTTTCTGTTCTTAATACAATGAAACTCACCTTTTGTACACTAGTATGATTTCTAACTGGAGGATCTGTTATCCCAAGATGATTGTGGGCAGCTTCAACAGCCAATTCTAGAGCACTGTCCAAGCTTGCTGTGTCCACATCACCTAAAACATCCCGAAACCATTTTCCTCCTATCATACACTGAAAAACAGAAAATTGGAAAATGTAACAACACAGATAGGAAATTCTTTCTTTCTTATATATTAAAATCAAAGATATTCACCAGTACACAGATTTCAAAATCACACCACAGCATACTTGCACCTTGCAATGCTGGGTTAAAAAAATGCTGTAAAATGGGCACATCCCCCTTCTACTATTTTGAGCCATAGAACATAAATCATTCACCTGATGCAAAGGTACCCGTGTTGCATGTGACATCAGACATCTTTGTTGCCAAACATGAATTTTTGTCCAGTTGGTTATCCATTTGAACTCACTTTTTGTGGGATCCACATGAGTATTTCTTCTAAATTTCATTGAAAATGATGCAGCCAGTTTCTCAAAATAATTGGTGACACTAAGCAGATAGATGTAAATTTTTGTCTATAAACTCACAATTTTTAATTAGCCATTTCTCCAAATAGGGTAGCCTAACAAAAAAGATTGGGGAGGTTCTAGTCTGTCTACAGATAGTTAATGGATATTGGCATTAATGGTTAATAAAAACTGGAAATTCTCCATCTTACATTTCTCCAAGAAAATAATATGATGGCAATAATCCAATCTATTTCTGTAACATTCAGAGATTCAAATTTTGAAGTAATAAATTATTTAAGACTTGATATAATAAAAATGAGAAGAGTGTGGAAATTGTACAATTATCTAATAAAACTAAAAGGTTTTGATAAATGCAAGTTGTGATGATCTCATTGCCCACGTCAAATTATGTGGATGTTCAAATGAGAAGGTAGTTCAGTTGAAGAACAACAAATGCAAGTAATAAAGCTAAATGGTGGAGTTATTCATATATAAAAGTTTGACTTCACATTTTGGTTATTGGCTACAACTTTATCAAAGGAAAGTGTCCTAGAACAACAAAGTTCAGCATCTTAGCTTAAGAAAATATAGTAGAGTTGATATGGTTGTAAAAAGGATATTGACAGCTTATTATCCTGAAGCATTCACTTAAGACACAGTAAAATTCAAAACTTTACTGTTGCCTTGAGACAAGACACAATTAAGGTATAAATGACAGTAGAAAGAGAATTTGTTTGAATTTGATTTGTTTTACACCAGATTAAAATTTAACAATTAAAATACATGAAGTGAGACCGAAGATGTAGGTGACTTTTGAAGATAGATACTGAATAAGAATGAAAAGAAAGAAGTGAAAAAAAAAGTAAGTGTGTTGGGAATGCAGAAATCAGTACACTTTTAAGAGCAGGTATTTGAAGAAGAGTATAATTGGTCTTTCATGTAATGCCAGTAAGCTGGAAACGAAAGTGTACTGTGGAAAAGACTTACGTGGTATAAAACTACAAAGAATGAATGTGTAACCTTGGAAAAACCATAGAACATTATATGCTATGATTGAGATTGCATTATGTGAGTATTTCAAGACAAAATAACAACAGAAAGTAATACAGTTTTGCAGCAAATACCTATAAATGTTAATGCTGTTAGAATGAAATTGGTCAATTTGACAATCTTGGAACTGGGTAATTATACATATAACTTTGAATTTACTAAGTGAATCTTAACAAAAATTTGCAGACTTTTAGTAAACATTACAAGTTTGTTGTAAACAACAACAAAAAAAACAAACAGATTTTTTAAATAAAGTATTTATATTAAAGATTTGTCTGTGAATTTATGAAGCCCTTAATGGTCAGTGTAACTGAAAGGTGATTTTCATGCTAAGAATAAAAATACTTCTATTCATCTTACAGATTCCATATAGTGCTTCCCTATAACTCTAGAATCTCCTAAACTAATATCAAGAGTTTTTTAGTGAAATCTTACTTTGTTTCTATACTCTAACTACCTGGAGTGAAATAATCCATAACAAGTTTCCACATTTCATTTGTATAAATTCTAGAACCTCCTAAATGAATATCAAAAGTTTTCATATACATTAGAATTACTTTTAACACAACAAGTGTGTCATCTATGCACACTGAGTGGTCACAAGTAAATAGACTTCTAATTTTTCATCATTTAACTGATTTATGCTAACTAATTTGTGTTCACAGAGCACTATATAAATGAAAATGGTCTGCACACTAATTATCTTGTGCTACAACATGCCTAGAACTCAAGGTTCCCTCGAATTGTCAGATTTTGATAGAGGAAGGATAGTTGGTCAAGCAGATGGTGGAATAAGTCAGCGGCAAATTTCGCAGAATTTGGGAATCATGCTTTCGACAGTCAACAGACTCATCGTACATTTCCGGAAACACGGCAAGGAAAC